ATTTTAGGAAAAAAACGAAGGTATAGTCATCATCTCGGTAATGGTAAAATACATTTTTTGCTTTATTTTTTATTATGAAGACTACAAAAAGTGCCCATAAAATATTTTAAACCAGAATACCGTATGCTATCAAATAACAGAGATACGGAGGTTTGTTAAAAACGCACCATTTTGTTTTTTCGCGATTAATTCAAAAACCAAAAACAATTGATAAAATCTAATAGCAGTTCTGAAATTGTAATGGAATCCTAAGAAAGATAGCAGCACCAATCCGAAACACACTGTATAAATTGTGACAAGTTAAAATTTAAAATAAGTTTCAAAGAGTTGCTCTTCATAGTTAACATACGTTTTACTTTTAACTTTAGTTGAATTTTAATACATTCCTTATATAATTCTTGCACAATATTATGCAATATTATTAATTATTTAAGGATCAATATTTTTTAGGTTTTTTTAATATTAAGGGTTATAAAAGTAGTATTTATTTCAATTTTACAAATTTTGTTTTTCTTATCTAATTACGAATATATATGCAACAATGATGATAATAATTATAATAATTACCTTGATTTGATGAAACAGGTACGAGTATATAAAGTTAATTTTTCCGTCAGTATATCTAAAGTATCCGCGAAGGTCGTACCAATTGTTTGAGTGTTTACTATTTTGTGTTGACTCTCATTCAAGGTTTTGTGTTATTAAATATATATGTTATTTATGGTGAAAGATCAAATTGGCATCATATAATAAGGTATGCATGATTATACATTAAAATTTAAAAAAGAACATTCTTTTCTAGTTTATTTATATAAAAAATATTGCCTATACTTAACTAAATCCAATTTATATGCAGGCAATATAAACAAAATGTCTACTGCGTAATCAGTCCAAAATCATATTAATGTAATATTTTATCTATGAGATCTCCATTAAATATAAAATATAGTCATGTATGTATTTATAATAATATATTATACAGAGTGGGCCACTCAAAACAGCCCATTCCAGTATTTGGCAGTATTATTTGGATTTTAAGAAAATGCTAAAACAGGTCGATTTTTAATTCAAAGGGGACACATTTTTTTACAATACAGACATCTGTCATGTGCCAACCCCCTTCCTTCCACTTCTTCATCCCCTTAATTTTAAATAGGGAATATAATATACATCACATCATAAGAGGGGTTGGCTAATTCAATTTCAATTTTCAATTTTTTCCATGACAGCAAGAAAACTAATTTTGCAAAATGTATTAACTAGGTAGTTACCGAAGATGTCACATAGCCTTGTTTACATTTAATTTGTCCTCAACAACTTTCTGACAGTATGGTCTCCCAAGTAACATTTTTAGATTTATCAAAGTATACAAGATAACCATAAAACCCTTTTTTAAGACACTGATAAAACTTTTGAATCCGCGAGATAGCCTTAGGGCTTCTATAAATCTGATTTAAGAGTAAAAGGGAGAACCCTATACCATTTTTAAATATTTTTTAAGATTATGCTAATCAGTTTTAAGAGAATTAAATTTTAAACTGTTTTACCTTTATTCTGTTTTATCATACTCTCTGTCAGAATGATTTTGCAAACATGTTGGGAAGACTGCTATACTAGAAATTAATTAGTTTGGTTACACTTGTTATTTCCTCAATTTTCAAACACACACCAAAGTACTGTTTAAAGTGGGCAACGTGAGTCGTAATATATGATGGGCCTTACAATATATGAAATATACGTAATAAAAGGATTAAAATACGAATTCTAATGTATTTACTGAAAGGTATTTAATAGAAAATAATATTGTAAATATCGTATATAGATCACTATAAAATGATTACATTTGTCTTCGATATGTTTTTGATATAAAATATCACATTTTGTATTTTTCAAATTATTTCATGGGAGTGACTATTTAACCGCCAATATAAATCCTATTTTAAATTTGCTTTGTAGGGATACTTGTCATCGTCAGAAAACTATTTTTAATTGCACATTCTACCTAATGGACTACCAGAAACAAACTTTGTGTCTAATCATAAATAATATTAGGCGACGCAAGAGTTGTATAACATTATATTATAACATGTTCCATTATAAATTAGGTACATTTATATACCCTAAACCTAAAATGTATTAGCTGTAAATATATTTGACAAATTTGACAGTATGTGGTTAAATGGAGTAAACGCAATCATAAATAATAAATCTACTACCATTGGCACACTCTTGTCAATAACACACTATCACTGTCTATGGTACACAAATTACGTCATTGCGAAAATCGGAAGCTCCATGATCGGAAGCTTATAGAATTATTTGAACTTTGACCATAATTTATTTTAATATTCAAAAGTAAGTTATTTAAATATTCAATATATACAGGTCTGGTAGACAGGTACTATTTTACATGTGGTTAAACAGCCACTGCCATATTTAAAATGGAGGATTTCCTCATTGTGTTCTATCTGTACGTAAAAACGGACATTAGCTTAGAAAACTAATAAAAAAAAAATAATTTTTAAGACTCTCCAGTTTTAAAAAGCTCCTGCTACACTTTTTAAAGCGTTTTATAAAAAAATAGCAAAAAGGAAAAACTCAATAAAACATTCATAAGTTCAATTAGATGGTAATAACCTTATCTTATTCTTGAGCTTCTTCTTATTAGTATTATTATTTTTATTATTATTATTATTATTATTATTATTATTATTATTATCATTATTATTACAAAAACGGCAATTTGCTTATAATACGAGCTTTAGCCATAAATATAAATTTTTGGTTGGGGCATACATTTTTTCTTTATTTTCGGCTTTTTAATTTTTTTTTCTTTGGGAATGTGATTTGGATTTACACTTTCACATTTGCAAAAATTGCATATTATAATGTTCGCATCTATAACCCATATTCTCACCCTTCCTTTTTATATATTTTTCTAGAAGTTATAATATTGCTAGTAGTGAGAAACATAATATATCGCATTCACCTTGGCTTGTAATGTACTTTTATTTACAACCATATATGTAATGTTGTCATTACTAACGTCATTGAAGGTTGGGAAGTGTCCATGGTATAAAAAATAGAAGGTAGGATATCAACTGCGTCAAAAATGGGACGACCACGCGCTTGACGTCATGCGTAGAGTTTGTATAGGCGGGAATTTAAAAATACTGTCGAAGTATGAGGAAACTAAATGTTATTTACAGAAATTTCATAAATATTAAAGATAATATTTCAAAAATGACATGAAATATCTAAGGATATTATAATGGAATAGATAAGGAAAGAGCTATAAAGAAAAATAAACTTAAATACATATATGAAAGAAATATTTATTTGAAGTATCAGTTTTTTTCCTTTTTCTTTTTGATGATTTATTTTTGTTATATAAATTTTAATGCAACTCGGAATTTCTCAACTGGGGACCCTGGGTTAAAATTTCACATTTTGGGACTATTTACCTGATTAGGATTCGCAACTGACTCATTTATCTACAATATATTACTCAATTGAACATACTTAACTTTATGAATAAGATGGGATTTAAGTATGATAACAAAAACAGGTTTTTAAAAAATATTTTTTATACATATAATATAATGCAAAGCATAAAAATAAACGTACCAAATACAAATAACTGCTACATGGTAGGTGTATATACAAAATTAAAATAAAATGTCACTGCATTTTTCCTGGACCGAGTCACTGATAATTTTTTAATTCTTTCAACAAATACAACATGCCGAAATTTTATTTTTTTACGACATAAACAATTTCACCTTTGTTATATATTGCGAAATTTTCAGCTTTCAAAAGGGTAGAGTCCCCAGTTAAGAAGTCCTGAAATGCAAATGAACTAACGTGAAGGTTTGCTTTGAGGTCCATCGTATAATTGAAAAAGGTTAAAAGTGCTTGGAGCACCCATGACAAAGTTAAAGTTATCTGCACGGCCACAGGCCACTGCAAGGGCGTTTTCGTCAAATTTTCGAGGAGGAGTGGATAGCATTGCCTATAACATTTCCCTATTTAATATATTTTTTCAATAAAGGCCTCATGGAATGTAAAAATGTTAATTAATAAAGAGGCGGGGCTCCCTTGGACCTATAACTAGAGCCGCCCTTTGGCCATTTCTGAGTAACCTCTTTCTGTAGAGGAATGTGAAAAATAACGTCTTTTTTAACTCGTTTGCTTTGATTGTTACTGTTGCATCCGTAAACTGCGTACCTCAATTTTTAATGTTTATCACTAATACCATTCACGGAGAATACTGTTATTAAAAACTTACAAATCACTGCAACGTACATCTGTCATATGATATTTACTTGGCGCCAACTCTACTAACTCTACGCATGACGTCAGCACCGCCATGACACTATGTGCGATATCCCCCCCTGGGAAGTGTCACATTACACACCTCTACTTCCCGCCCTCCCTTCCCGCCCTCATTTCATCTATTCTATTATATTATATTTAAAAAAAAATTACACATTTTTTTGTCAAATTTTATAATACCTATTTAATGGCAAACAATAAAAAACAACAATGAACTAAAATACAACAAACTACTTATTGATATTTATTATTCGCGAATTTAATATCCGGCTTTATCTGACATTTATTTATATTGGTGACAGTTGTGTACCATGTAATCACAGTAACAATATATTTACTTGATTATTCTGAGAAAACCGCGCGCTTGGTAATTTGTCGTTAAATGTAATATTTTAGGTATGTTCAGAACGAAACAGAGATTTATTAACTTTGATCGAAATATGATGATTGTAATTAAAATAGTATACAAATTTCGGTAGGAAATTTCATTCCTGTCTCGAGATCATAGCTAACCTCAACGCTTCGCGTCTCGGTGATCTAACTAATCTCACGACAGGAATGAAACTCTTCCCACCTCGGTGTGTAATATACTAATACGTCTTGAATAACTACTAACTATGATACATAAATAACTAATTGGTTTCAGGTGGACGAAGTAAATAAATATGCTGGAATTAATACTTATAGTAGGAGCAATCACTGTTCTCTTCTATTACTATGGAGTTAAACCAATGTCTTACTGGGAAGAGCGAGGTGTGAAGCAAACTCCAAAAGTTTGGCTGGTTGGAGATAATTGGAGAACACTATTAAAATTAGAAAGCTTTACTGAAATGATAGAAAGAATATACAATACAATTTCTGGAGTAAGGTAATACCGATTTTATAAAGTATAATTTTACGTAAGCGTACACAAACAGAAGAACATATAATCCATTTAATTATTAATAAATTATGAGTTGGATAGCCTACATTTACCTAGAGATTAGATATGATATTTCTAAACAAGTTGTTTAAATATATATGTATATTTTTAATAAACCCGAAAACGAATATTTAACCGACTTCAAAAAAGAAGGAGGTTCTCAATTTGTATATTTTTTTATGTATGTGCAGCGATAATTATTAACTACGTTATCCGATTTCTATGAATATTTTTGTTAGAAAGGGAATATCACAGGGATAGTTCCATTGTCCCATATAAATTTGGTCAAAATCCACTATTGGGGTCCTTGAGAAAATCATCACTCTTCATTTTCATATAATTATCTATAACTTTGTTCGATGTCTATGATTCTATTTTTGTTAAAAAAGAGATACCTCAGCGGCAGTTTCGTATACAATTCGTCAGGATCTGATGATCTATAAGAAAATAAAAAATCTCTTTTCGGAATATGTAGTATTTAAAAATCTAATTTTTGGCCAAATTAAAAATAAAGGTCTAACTTAGGTCACCTTACTATTGAAAATTAATAAATTTATTATTTTCAATAAAAACCAATCATGTAAAATAACCCCCTTTTATTTCATCTCAAAGGTGCCGTGTAGAATTTTTAACCTCGATGTCAAACAAATAATAAAAAAAAATGTAATACTACCTAAGTTCAACCTTTACTTGGAATTTGGTACACTCAGAATATTTAAATATTGTATATTTTTCAAAACGTGTAGATCAATCAATAATTACTTCATGTAATGTAATAAAGATGGTGCTCCGATCGATAATATTTTGACTAGTATTTGATTATTTCCGTTTATATTATGTGTGTTTACATGTGATACAATTGGAAAGTAGTAATTGTCTGCTAATTTATTTTCTATTCTTGTATGGATTTTTAAATAGTTTGTTTATTAAATATACTACCTAGACCTAAGTAAATTGTGAAATAAATTAATGTTTTTCATTGCGATTAAAAGATAATAATAGAAATATCAATATTAAAGCCTTATATTAACAGATAACGGGGTTCGTCTGTAATCATATTTACTTAGAATAAATAACCAGCTTATTGGTAATTATCTAAAGAACATTGTGAAATAAATTAATGTTTTTCATTGGGATAAAAATATAATAATATAAATATTAATATTAAAGACTTATTAACAGCTAACGGGGTTCGTCTGTAATTATAGATTTACTTAGAATAAGTAACCAGTAAGTAGGTAGGTAACCAGCTTATTGGTACCTAATTATCTAAAGTAATAATAAACCAATTGTTTTTTTTAAATAGGTAAATAGGTAATAGAGACATACTTCAAAAGGTTACCTGCAATATAAAGATTTTCGAAACAAAATTGTTAGGTGCTATTTTCCTACCCGCCTTTTTTTTCATTTAATATGTCTTCTACTATATTTAAAACATAGAGTAGAATCTTTATTTAGAAATTCAACCCTATCTAATATTTTATCTAAAACTGATTTTACATCTTCTGTCATTCTTTGATCTTTTTTTGTCCGTTGCTTTTTGCGATAAGGCCTATGCCTGGATTTAAGTGACCGCGGCATTTTCACTATATTGTAAACAAAAAATATATAAACGTTAATTAAAATTATACATGTAAAATATTACTAATATTTAACTATTGTAAAAATAGCTATTTGTGTATTACGAGCGGAAAGTGCTACTTTTTCGCTTTAGATAAAAAGTTGCCGCACGACGCGCAGCGGAGTGCGACAATTTATCTTAAGCGGCAAATAGCTTTCCGCTCGAATTACACACAATATTTTTTCTACGATCACACCAAAATTACATTTTACTTTAATATTTATTTGATACTCTGAAAGTTGTTGTGTGTTGTGTCTTATGTGTATGTTGCGTTGCCTACATACCTAGCTACAGTTTGAAAACGAAGTAATCTATTTTTAATATTTCAATTATCGTTTAAATATTAAGGGAAATGGGTTTGAATATTAGGTAATGTGCGCCAATAATGTCAAATTATGACAATTCGCGGAAAACGTCAACTTTTTATTTAGATTTTAATGTGCAAAAGCCTACCTACTTTGGATATTGATCGTAAAAAAAATATATTCAGAATAATGAAACATTATTATTAAATACCAAGTTTTTTTTATTGTCAAATTTAATACGTAATATTATTTTTTACTTGCAAATATTTGAATGATAAAATTATAGCGTTTAATTTTTTTATTCAATGACGAACTCGAGAGTGATAGAAAAAATACTACCTACCCAGACAGCACACCAAATCCTTTGGATATCTACTGAACATCCCAATATCCACTGAATGTCCAGTCCATGGTGGATATCTATTTTATATCCATGAGCTGTAATTTATAGACATGCAAATGTCCATAAATAGTAGTAATTATATAGCAAATTATTAAGAAATTACGCCATTGTGCTCACCATTGTGGCTAATAGTACCGTTCCGATATTTGAACTTAATTTTTTTAAGGTGTATTCAATATCCCATGGACATCCACTAAATATATCAAAGTCTAGGCGCGAATGCAAACCATCGTGGATATCCACTAGATGTAATTTTTGATTTTGCTTACTAAGTATAGATGGCGATACTACTTTCGCATCTACCCATGCTCAACCCGCCGTAATTGAGTTCGATCGAAATTTGTTTCACAATCAGACTCCATTAGAGTCGAGAATTTTCATTTATTGTTGAAGAGTCCTAATAAGGATAACTTTCTCCTTAGAGGGCAATATCAAAGGCAGAGTGTTGAAAATATTTTGACTGTTGAAAATATTTTTTATCTCTGCTATTTTCTTTCAACTTTATTCAATAATCATTGGTTACTTATGAATCTCTACTAAAGATACCTATAAAATATTTTGCTGAATATCCGAATTCTTCTATATCCTGGTATATAGACGGACATTTGGTTGGATATTCATATTGGATATCCACAGAATATATTCTGTGGATATCTCTGGGATTTCTTGTATTGTCTGGAAGATACTCATTAGATATTTTGCTGGATAATCCATAGGATATCTTCTATATTCTGGATATAGACGGACATTTGGATATCCATGTTAGATCCACGGAATATTTCTGATATCCTGTGGATATATTGGATATCCACAAAAGATATTCTGTGGATATCTCTGGGATTTGGTGTGTTGTCTGGGTACCTTTAATGCAGGAAGTCGATGTCAATTTATCCAAAAATAAAACTGATTAAAATGTAAAATTTTGAAAACTAAATACCCGGTAAGCTTGTTTGTAAATTTATAGACTCTTAACTCCTTCCCCCAGCCTTCATTAAGTATATTAAAAGTCGTGACGTCATATTGGCACAGATACGGTAATGTGTTTTGACAAGCAGGGAAATGTTTCTAGGAAATAACTACCTAAGATAAGATAAGACAAATGAATGTTAAATACCTACTCATAATATCTATTGTAGGGTTTTTGTACTTTAATAGGATAAATATTTATGCGGGCCTGGAAATTCCAGGAAATTACAGTCAAAATTACCCAAAAACATTAGGTTAGTACCAACATCAGATAACAGATAACTTCGGTATTTAACCAATTAATCACAATTAATATTCTTGAACATTCAAATGACAAAAACTTCCATCTTTAACCAATGAGAATATAGTTTTCATTCGATACTTCAAAATCACAATTTATTAATTAGGTAGAATAGTTTTAAAATATATTGCGAATTGCGACACGTCAAGCGTCCCACTCCGACTCAATGTGACGCAATTACTGTAGCAATATATTTTGAAACGACTCTATATTCGTGACTTGAAATTATAAAGATCCCTCGTATTACTACCCGCATATAAAGCAAATTATTTGTTTTAGGAAATATTTATATTTAATGTGAGGCAAGATATCGTTTTTGTTGTTACCATCTGCATACCTACCTACCTACCTACATTCTTTACTTTGGTCCAGGAAACAAAGTCGATTTTCGTTAAAAATAAAATGTAATAGGTAGGTAATACTTTATGAAACAGTACAATAAAAGTATTGAAATAAAGTATGGTCATACTCCAAAATGAGTCCTAGAGTTAACATTTTTATAATATTATAAATGGCATATAAAACGATTGGGCCGTTTTCACAATCGCGAAATTATTTTTTTTTATTTGGTAAAATCCCGGCAATTATTGAAAAATAGATTTTATGTTCAGGACTATTATGATCCTTCGAACTCAGTCTACTAAAAACCGGTTTATAATATAATACAATACAATATCCCCTAATAGCTACCCAAGTAACAATTTGATATTTTATAAAAGTTGAAAAAATGTTTACAGAACCAAATTTATAAAATAGAATATTAGCTAAGAACATTTCCGGAACATTCTTTCAACAGTAATAAACACAAAATGGGCGCAGTATTACAGAACTATTTGGTTCTTTTGTAAATTCTATAAGATTTGTTGAATACATTTACCGAACAGTTACTACACATTTACACAGACTTTAAACAAATGTTTTTTTAAACTTTTATAACTGTTTTATAAATTTTCAATTTTGAGGTTAGGTTGCATATCAAAATCAGTAACATTTTAGTTTTTTAAATGTATCTGGTGAAAACAAATTAATTCTATATTTGTCATGAAAGTAAATTCAAGGCGATATTAGTAAAATGGCAGTATCTACTTAAGAGATATCTATGACGCGGTTTAGACATAATGTATGACCTACAATAAAGCGTTTTTGGATACGCAGCAAGAATTACTGTTAATTATATAGCACATACAATACTAAATTTTTAAGCGCCTCGAGTTTGATTCATATTTCTAATACTTTTTCAGTGTGAAACAAAAATTAAATTAATGCAATTTGATTTTTTTTAGTAATAAGATTATGCTAATATTACTAATGATTAAAATCTTTAATTAACATTGGTTTTGTCTTAAATAC